CTCACACGATGCTCCGCATACCAAGTAACACGAGCTGTGAAGTGATAGCATACACTGACGAGATCACTCTTTCTACCGAGGACAAATACCTATGTAAGTATCATAGATAATAAGCTCACCTAAACACGGTTGAAAGGAGTAAGAGAACCGCGCAAAGCGGTAATAAGACCCATATTATTTTACGGTTCCGTTTTCATATTCACTCACTGCAGCATCTTTCAAAGTACACAAAGGTGCCAATAAGATGTAGGGAAATATTAAACAAACTCTCGTCTGTATACGAAATGACCATAGTTAAGGTCCTCGGACATAGTGGCATCCCATGAAATTGCGAGGCTGACGAGCTGTAAATTTTGCACACTATGAAGATATACGTATTTCCTCTGAAAAATACTTGCTAAGATCGACCTCGATCAATAATCCCAATAGCAGATGACAGAGTGAAACTACATGCAATTTGACCAGGCAGATGGTCATGGTGGATACAAAAAGAATTAAGAATATACCCTTCACAGCAGAGAAGCATAACAACCTGCGAAATTATCGGAAACTGTTTGATGGGCCTCATCATAGAAATATAGGGTACTTATCAAATGAACTCTATCGCGGTTGCAGAGACATAGACGAGAAGTCACCGACATCATCTAACGGGAGGTCCAGGAACGTGCTGTTTCGACGGAATCGGCTCAGAGGGAGAGTGGGCTGGATGAGTCGGCTCCACATGCAGGACATACATTGGGTATGTTGGGGTCAAGTGTGGATAAGTGGGAGTTTAACCTGCTAGTGTCACGCGGGTCGGCTAACGCTTTGAGTATTTTGTTGCGGCTTTGGAGTTTTGCGGCAATTGCAGTCTTAAGCGGAGAGAAGGAGTGCAGGCTATCAAGTGTGACTCCCAATATCTTTAGGCGAATAATGGTCGAGCAAAACCGTTAGTATTTAATTGGGAGTGTTGCATTTAATTACAATGAAAACGAGAAGTTTTAAATTGTGATAGTGAAAGAAATGTTATTTACGTCTATTACTTGGAAAGTACATCCAAGAATCCATATGTAAATTGTAATTTCAATTTTTTATTTTGATTTCAGACTAAAAAATGCCGTTCAGTTGGAGTGTTAAGAACTCAAATTTCTCTTTTTTATACACTACGAAAGGCAAACTTTGTTACTGTTCGTATCGGTTATAATTATTATATCCTTGGGTGGAGAAGTGGAGTGTTTCGATCAAGGGATCTCAGCTGTTTATTGACCAGATGATAGTTTTTCTACTTGTAGGACTGTACAATGCTCTTAAGACCCGCGATCGAATGCATTGGTGTGTCTTCAACTAGTCCCAATTTTTTTTGTTATAAATGTTGCTTAACAACCGCGAATCATTTGCTTATTCCTACAAAAGATGCGAATAACAAAATGAGAATCTGAAATGATTATGGGATCCTCCCTAATTTCTAAAACTCGCAAATCAGACCAAACCGCCAAACCGACAAGATCGCACGGGAGTTAATTGTGAACCGCCGAACCGAGCTACGACGAATCGACCCACGTGGACGAAACTGTGCAAATTTACCGACCAGCAACTACCTCTCAATACAAACACATCCGTGTTTTATTTAACTATTGGGTTAGAGGGTCCCATTGACGGACTCTGGAGCCGCTAGCATGCCCCAGCAAGGACAAAACCCCCACGTCGTTACAACCTATATACCCAGCACAACAATAATAACAATAAAATGTTCTGATACCAAATACCTGGACAGAGCGACGGACGAGCTATAGAGAAGAGGAGTACTTCTAACCACAATAAGAACTTGTTGGAGCTTTTCAAAAACTTTCGCCGTATTACAACAGTATTACTCTATTACAATCCTTGCCTTGGCAAAATTTGCCAATTATTTACAATATTGCAGCATAGATTGAGACTCGAACAAGCCCTAAACCATGCACACTATGAAATTGTACCACTGCCTACTGCAAAACCCTTGCTAAAACTGACCTTCGATGTACAAAGAGGATGTGGATTAATGACGTAAGTATGTTGGTCTTGCCCAACAGCAGCATCAAGTCAACACTAGGTACTAATTGATACAACATTCCTTCCTGCAAATGTCGCACTGTAGTTGAAGCACCGACGAAGAGTTCGAGCTCCACATTGGCATATCCTCCCCATTAAAAATTTATGTCCTCTCTATATATCCTCTCTTAGAACTACTCATACAATATTACTGGCGATTAACGTGCGAGCTGGGATAGATACCGTGAATTGAAGAGCAAGACGCATAGACTAATACCAACAGGCGCTGCTTTGGACTAAGTAAACAATAAGACAAAGTAAAGTCGGGTGAGTTCCAAAACGTCCAAATACTTTGTAATGATGCAGTTGCAAAACAATGCAACCCTGCATTCTAAAAATTTGCCTCGAAGCAATTCTTTGCAAACTCTGACATTTTGGAACGCTTTTCGTGCAAATAAGTTGCTGTTCGGTGAAATGGCTAAAACATAAAACAGATCAAAAAAATAAGTAATAAAAATTAAAAAAAAAAAAAAAAATTAGCGAAAAAACTTGACTTGAACTAAAGCATCACAAGCCTTAGCGATGCGCTGTTTACGCATCAACAACTCTACCGACGCATTTTGGAACATGACACATCGTCAAAGTTTGCACAGTTGCATTTAGGAATGTGTGACAATGTGTGTTTTGGAATTCACCCGTCCTCTCTCGTCGAACAAAGGACCTAACTCTACAAGTCACTCACCATTCCTGTCGTGCTGTATGGTACGGAAGCATGGACGATAACGGTTTCGCGAGACTGTTGACCTAAACGGGGTTAGGTCGCCGAAAGGGTGACAGCCGTTGGCCGGATGAAATCCGGGTCAACTCCGATGCGTAGAACCGGCTGTCGTGAGAGTCCGAGCAGAAAGGGAGTACTAGACCTAAAGGACACAATCCAGCAACACGTACAACAACCGCTGGACAGGACGGCGTACCGACAAGCACTGAACGCCATTCACCAGGAGTCAGTCAACACCTTCATGGACTCCCTTCCAGTGAATGACGTACTCGGAGAAATACTACCACCCATAGCAGACAACGAGCTCGAGCTGCCTCGAGAGACCCGCGTGACCCTGACACAACTCAGGTCTGGATATTGTAGCAGGTTAAACTCCTACCTATCCAGACTAGACCCCAGCATACCCAACGTATGCCCTGCATGTGGAGAGTCTTAACTCAACCCAACTCATCTAAGCCCCCTCTCCCTCTGGTCCAACCCCGTCGACTCAGCTCGTTTCCTGGACCTACCATTAGATGACCTCGACGACTTAGACTGATCAAACCTGTGCCTAAGCGGGTTAGTGAGCCGCTACAACAACAACAACAACAACGGTTTCGTGAGAAAGGTTTTGCGAATTGGTTACAGCAAATACCCCAGCTGATGGAACGATGAGCTTTACGATATATACAGCGACATTGTTGGTGGAAGCAGAGGGAGAATGTGAAAAAGGAACAGCGGAAAGAAGAAATAAATGGCGTAATATTGATAATTCGGCTACAATCGCGTAAGCTGTGTCTACGAGAGTAAAGAAAAAGACGAAGACATATAAAAGTTAAAAGATTTTTATTAATTTAAAGCTATTTCAATTTTGTTTCTTAGTATTAAGACATCTTAGTGATGTAATATTATCTTAATTATACATACCATGTGTGATATATGTAACGAGCTTTAGTTTATACACAAACTCGTATGTATTAAAATATTCTTAGATTTACGTAATGCTGCTATACGCATTTATTTACCTAATTTGTATCGGAAATTTACATAATTTCCGTAATGTACATATAGTACTCGTACATACTTGTAAATTACTTGTAAGTATCCAAAATATGACTAAGGCGATTCCCCAAAAAGTCTGATACGTATTTCTATCTCGGTCACAATTATGTTCAAGAGAGGCACTTGCTGATGAGGTAACACGCGAGTTAAATAAATTTTAATATTTTTCGCAAAAAAATTATGTAATCCAGGGTTAAGCCAAACTTTAAACTTTTGTTTTACCATCATTTACTCGAATGAATTGATAAATTCCTGCTTTCAAGAGTTCGGAGGTACGGCTGGTCGGAATAATTTGATGCCAAAATCCTTCAAGGTCTGGATTGAGAAATTCGTTCCATATTCGTCTTCAATCGAACGAGTTTGCATTTTGTATTAGGACGCACTTCCTGGTCTGAATTTTCTAATTCGGCTTATTTTCGCTGTTCACAACGGTATTTTCCTGTCAGCTGATATGGTTTGTTTCAAAACAAAGCACGCTTAAAAAATAAAGAGTTGAAATATACTTCTTGAACAAGACGCAGCCGAAGATTCTCTGCAGTATAGAGCTTTAATGGATTTGGTTTCAACCTCCACAGCCAGCTGAAATCGGTTATAATAAAGGAATTATTATTAACACCTGCGGTGTAGGAGTTTTAGAATTGTCCAGCGGGGAGGTATACCGTTCGGTTCGGTCTTATACCGGTACGACCCGGATTTTTATCCTGCCAAGCACTATCACTCTCGCAACATTCGCCAGCAACTAATTTGGGGAATATTTGGCAATTATTGGCTTAGTGTTTGTTTGTTCACCATTAAAATTTTCAATTAAAAATATAATTTTTATATAAGAAAACGTTTTCAGCTTAAAAATTTTCAATTAAAAATATATTTTTGACTATAACTACTAACTATACGTATTTGTTTGTTACCTTATTCAAATGATTTCTTAATAATAAAGAAATATACGCATGCGCGCTCTGCATTTTACTATGAATTTTAATAAACAGTATTTTAGGTTTTGCAAATTAAGTTGTTATGTTCCAAAAACCGCTTGACCATAAAACATTACTTTACTTCTATTTTACTTTGTTGATTTATAAATTTCCTTTAGAATGTCTATTTCTCTCAATTCCAACTTCAACCACCCTGAAATTAGATTCTGCAATTTAATGTCATATAATTACAGAAATAAGAATTACATTGTATGATTGCACTGATTTATTTGTAAATTAATTTCTGAAATTAAGTTTCTAACTGCTTGTGCTTTTATTTTTCTTGATTAATTAGTTCTGTCTGGTGACCAATTGTTACTGAATTTACACTTTGTTATTTAGACTGACATTTCTCCCCGGACAGAACTATTGCTGGCAAATGATGTGAGTTCAAAAAGGATTTTTGATAAATTATTGTGAAATACGTTTACAAACAGAAACTGAAATTCAATTTCCATGAAATTTTTTATGTCGTGTGACTGCTGCACGGTACATATGCAGATATGCACATTTTGTCAAAATGAAAACAGCTCCAAGCATACGGTAAAAGAAACTTTTGTTTTGTTAATTATTACAACTTATTGGTAATGAAATCATTCCTACAACGATAACATAATAATAATAGTAATGAAATTTATATAAAAAATAGTATCCAAAGGCAACACCATTGATGTATATTTACAAGAGGTATGTATACAGTTTTATAATATGCACATGGGTGTACACAAAACGTAACTAAGTAAGGTTTTCTCTAAATCTATAAAATATAAATTTTACTCAGCTAAATAGGTTGAAAGTTATACTACTCAGATTTGACTTAATACAACTAGTGAAAAGCATAAATTATGATTTTTTGACAAAATTTAGCCTAAAATAACTTTGGTAAGATGAATTTTGAATTTTTATAAACTAGCTAAAAGCTCGCACTACCAAATCATACTGTTCTTTACTATCAATCTACAAAGCATATAAGCCAGAAATTCAAATTTAAATAGTCTATATCATTTCAACTTCTCAGTAGCGCAGTTCATTGATTTTGATTGGCTCTTGCGATAGCCGTTACGATTTCCATTTTGACCACCATTTTCTTCGTTGCAGGTACTCGTTTTAAGTCGGACACCAGCGAGAGTAAAAACATACGATCTTCATCATGCGTTTCATGTTCGTTACGTTCACGATGATCTAAACTGCTCAGTAGTTGTAAAATTCTACCTTGTAAGTCTTTGGTGGACTCTGCAGCTTCGTATCGTGCGCGTTTAATATTCGGTTCTACTATACTCGTGTCATGAGAAGATACATCCGTTTCTGTTTCAATTTCCTTCTCCTTTTCCACACATCCATTATTTTCAATACTTTCCTCTCCTGTACATAAATCAATCGGATTGATAAATTCACCGCCTTTGTATTGTGCGACTGTACAAAATTCCTTGTTCCACGTTCCTTGGATCGATTCATTCGTTTCATTTGCTCTTGGCACTTCTTCAATAGTCTTGGCATCGTTATTTCCAACATCGATTGTTACTTGTGGGGAGAGCGCATCATTCATGAAATAACTATCACAAGTGTCGAAATCATCATAATCGAATCCTTGTTGAACTTCTTTTTTAATATCACATTCATCAGTCAAATCAATCAGATCGTTTAAGTTGTCTTCTTCTTGTTGCATCTCATTGCTCAGCCCTGCACTATTTAAGCATTCCCGAAGTCCCATCTCATCAGCCAATCTACAATTAAGAGTTACATGTTATTACAAATAATTAAGGGAAAGTCTGTAAGTAGACATGACTTACTTGGCGCAATATGAGCTCCTAATATGAGGGATCAGGAACTCGAGCTCGGCAATAATTGGACTTTCCTTTCTTCGGGAATAGTTCTCTAGTGTAGCATTCCTTTTGACTTCGCGAGATATAGAATCTCGAAGATTTTTCCAACGCCGACGTATACTTAGCCCTACGAAATAAAAGGAAGTTATTATAAATACATATATCGTAAAATTTTCCAGCAATTGCGTTAAACGAATTTTGTCCAAATCAAACAGAAAAATATTTGCATAAATTTAAAAAAATTTCTAATAAAATGTGCTTTAATGATTAAATTACTTTGTGAAGATTAGAGATCTTCATCTAAAGTAGAGTAGTTATTATTTGCTCATTGCACGAAAAATTTCAAGCCCTGGCTGGTATTTATCGAATTTTTCACTCTATCAGACCTATTCTGTAGAGTTAAAAAAATTTACTTTGGTATTCAAATTTATCATTCAGTAAATTTTGTTACTATTTCGTATTCTGAGCTCACTGTCCCCCTGTAAATTTTGTTACCAGCGAAATAGTAGGTAACAAAAAAATATACCGTTTGATTTTTTGCTGTTAGTTTGAGAAAAAATAAAAACCAAAATTTGTAGGCATATTTTAGGACTAAAATTCATTGAAGATGAAGAAAAAAGTGTAAAATGGCGTATGCCAAGAAGTTTGCGAGCTTTTGTTCAGCTTTTTTTTGTCGTTTAGGCATATTTTCCAAAATTAGTTTCACATATTTATGATTTATTAAAGACATAAAAAAAAATTGAAGTGCACCGTCTTCCATTGCGATGTGAATATTCTTCTTTTTTACTTTACCAACTGGCAAATGCAATTTGACAAGGACGAAGAAAGCAGTGTGACCCAAGTTTTTCAAACATTGTAACCAGTTCGCCAGAATACGAAATTCATTTTTGGGTGTTAAAAAAAAGTAACAAAGTTTACTTTACCGAAAAACAGTGAGAATATTCATGTATACGTAGAATTTCGTTACATAAATGTCAGAGAAATGTAACACATTCCTATTATTTTTGTTGCTGAAGCGGCTTGCTCAAGCCCGCCTAAGAGCAGGCAAACTTAGCCTTTATCACCGAGCCTGGCAGCCTATACTGACATTAGCACCGGACCACTCACCCATACAAATCCCGGAACGGAATAAGCATGCTGATGCTATGCGGGAACATACTTCATTTCCAAGTCCCTCAGACCACATTAAAAATACCCGATGTGTGGAAAATGGGTAGAGTGGTCCCGCTACTCAAACCGGGGAAACCACCCAACAAAGGAGAGTCCTATCGGCCGATAACTCTTCTCTCCCCAGTAGCGAAGACACTTGAGGCCTTACTGCTCCCGATTTTCACTCACCATCTGCGTCCAGCAGCGCATCAGCATGGCTTCCGAATGGTGCACAGTACCACAACAGCACTTAACGCCATAAACACCCAGATAGTCCATGGCCTTAACCAAAACCGACCCTGCGCGCGACCTGTCCTGGTAGCACTGGACTTGTCAAAAGGTTTTGACATAGTCAATCACTCAGTGCTACTAACGGACATTGAGGAATCCTCAATACCGCCGGGGTTGCAGAGGTGGGCCATGGGCTACCTGAGTGGTCGACAATCATCGGTAATTTTCCGAGGTGTAACATCTAAACCCAGAAAAATTAAATAGGATGATGTCCTCTCACCGCTACTGTTTAACTTCAGGGTGCTCAGAGACAAATTGAGGGCCTCGTGAGAAATTCTGCTCAAGCTGGTCCTAGGTGTTTCAGCATCAGCGTGGGCCGATCGATTTGCAGGCTTTCGCATTCCCGATGACCCCCTGAACCCCCTCTCTGGAGAAATCAAGCTGGTGTTTGGTTGCCTGGCCGATCGTTAACTATGCTGCACCGATCTAGCCACCGAGAACGAACGACAGGCAGTTGAAAGCCTGCCAATACACTGCCTAAATCAAAAAGAGAGTACTAGATTTAAAGAACACAATTCACCCCCTGTCGTTTAGGTGTTCAAGAAGTTCCCGCGGCAGTCGGGTCTTTATACCGAGCCGACCCGAATATTACTTTGGGGAATATTTTTGCGCTTACAACACCAACAATAACAGCAACATGTACAAAAATTACTGGGCAGGACTACGTACAACAACAAAAATAACGACGTACAGACAGGCACTAAACGCCATTCACTAGGAGTTAGTTAACACCTTCAAAGACTCGCCCCTGTGTTTGGCATACTCAGAGTTAAATTAAGGCCCATAGCAGACGAAGAGCTCGAGCTGCCTCGGAGAATCAGCCTAGTACAGGCACAAGTTAGGTTTAGATATTGTTGCCGGTTAAACTACTACTTATCCAGACTCGACCCAAACATACCCAACTTGCATTGAAGGTGTTCTTACAAATTCTATGGCATTCTGTTATATTTTAGGGTTTATCGTTAATGATACGATCTGTTCTCCCAGGTCCATTCCTCTATGAACATTATAGTCTTAGCCTCTGAATAGCGCACCCCTACAGGAATGGCATTCAACGAAGTCCTTTAGTACCCCTACTGTACCCAATCTATTATGAGAAATTATTTTCTTATTTTGCTTGGATGTTATTGTTAATTTATAATATTTATTAAGTAAAGTTCTCTCTCTTTTAAAACGAAAACCAAACTCTACAATCAATTTCAAAATGAAACAACGAAGCGATACAGAAAACTGTCAAATTCCGCGCCGTATGAAAGGAAATACACATTCGTAATTGAGAGGACGAACAATTTAATTCACGATTCCAAATTATTTAATTCTTCATACGATTAACAGTAAAAGGAGGTAAGTGGGTTTTCAATTAACAAGTTAATTACGACCAAATTGCTGCCTTCTCCAATTTTTATCGAAACCAGCTGACAAATCAAAACAAAAAAGATGAAAATCATAAAAGATTCCCCAAAACACTAATACACAAACAATTATTTGAAACCAAACATTACTTGTATATTAGAGAAAAATATGAGAAGCTATTAAAAAAACTGGTATTAAATTACCAATTCAATTCAAGATGCTGTTAACTTCTACTAAAATCATCCCATGCATTTCCAAATAGCATAAACAGCAACACCGAAACTGTCAAAATGCGTGCCGTGTGAATGGGGGTAATTAGTATTTGCAATTGAAAGAGCGAAACACGTAATTGGGCTGTAAGTTTCAACTGGTAATAGTAAATGCTTATCGATTATAAGGTTATCGGGCTATCACTACTCATTTCCACTAACTTCTGTACAACTGGCTTAAGAGATAGATAATTATGTATTTACTCAATGAACTTTACAAGCCGTACATCAACCTAGCTTGGTAAGCCTAAAAATAACAATATTACTTTCTCCACACCGAATACAGCATGTACTATCAAAGAAAACAATGCTATGCAAAACAAGTAAACGAATCACACGAAATATGCCATTTTGCATTTACTTGCATACTTACGTATGATAGCTTGCTGTTCTGGCTTGTATGTATCATACGAAGGGAATAGCGCTCTGTAAATTCGCTCCCAAATGATTTCTTTGTAATTCTTATCATTATAGCCCTCCGCTGAACTATTATAAAGAATTTCTTGGCCGCGCACCAAACGAATTAATTTCATGGAATTTATTTTCACCGTAACGCCGACATCTGTAATTTTACACTTAGAATTTTCAACATTTTCTGCACCAATAATCTTGTTACGAATAACCTCACATATATTCATTTTATAACACATCCGCACAGAACACACGAAATCACAAACTAATTAAACATGTAGGAAAATACGCGTCGCCGCTGATAGCAGCGTTCGAAAAACGCTATGTTAGTATATTCATCTCGCTTTCTCTTAACATCTGACACCGGGCAGATAGTAGTCGCTACAATTTCACATATTTCCATTTTGAAGCCAGCCGCGTGCATCGATGCCGCTTATAGCTGTTTTGAAAAATAGTAGAGCGGTAGTGTGAGTGACAATCAAACAGTTCTAAATGCCACCGTCATCTCTTTTACTAGACTAAATTGAAACAGAGCAGGGTGACATTAATATTTGCTTTCCCTTTACTGTGGCTGAGTTTAACAGCGACGAAATGTTGCCAGCTGCCCGTGTGTTTTCATACTTTTAAACAAATTTACAATTTTTGCCCACAAACTATAAATTCGTGTGTTGATTATAAATGACAATCAATTGCATATGATTAATATTGTATTAAAAAACTAATTCGAATTCAGTTTTCATTTATTTTTGTGAAGCTGCGCATTTTCTTAGTTTATTTAATATTCGGTTAAAAATAAAAAAATACTGGTAACTATGTTTAACAGCGAGTAGTTAGCTAAACCAGTTTAACGGAGAAAATCGAATCGCAATGATTTATGAAGGTTTTCCAAATCAGAAACGTGTTATGGTTTCCACTTACAAAACTGCGTCGAAAGAGGAGCCCCAAATAAATTAATCATGCCGCGCTGCTGGGTACTTAGCATTCACTTGCTATTAACAAATTTACTCTCACAGAAGCAAAAATTTTCATGGCAGCTTGCTGCTCTATTTGCTCTATTACGGACGACTGATTGGATATTCCCGATTGCAAAGCAACGGAACGTTGAAAGCGTCCAGTCGATAAGAATAGCAAGGCGGTTAAAACCTTTCTGCCTTAAGTCGGCTATCAAAAAAAAAAAAAAAAAATCAGTTGCATTCAAGAGGAAAGAATCTTCCACTTTAGGAAGTCAAAATCTATCCAATGATGAAGGGTACGATAATAATAATTATTGTACACTACCTTCTTCAAGGGAAGTCTCCTACGGGCTCGGTTGTATCATCCTACCATGTCATCTGATTGGGGATGCAGCGTTGTCGTTCGGGATCTGACACATCTCTAATTCCAAGAACTCGAAATTCCTTCCTTGGTCAAAGTGCAATACTATAGATACTACATATCTAGCAACCCAATTGTAGGTGAGCACATCCGCAACAGTTTGATTACCGGCATTCAATTGCAGAAGCCAACACATGCCCTTGTTCGTCATATCTGCCATTTTTTTATGTCAAACTAAATGGAAGGAACGGAAATGCATACTTCACTGTTGTTTCCCAAAGAACCCCACCGAACAGCAATAGAATAAAAACAAACGGATCAGTGCTAGCAACACCAACGTAAACCAGCAAAAACGAACATAATAAATATAAATCCTAGCCGGAAATTCCGCTCATCTTAAGAAGAATGAAACCCATCCAAGTTATAAATTAAAATATCCCTTAGGCCGCAGCGTTATGGTAAACGAAGTGGTCCTGTACAATGTACGACCCGCAGGGACTTGGACACACCAAATCCTACTGTACTTGACGTACTGCATGTGTATCATGTGGTGACCTCCACCATTCTAGTAAGTGTGCTCCAAACAAAACCAATGCATCAAAGAAAACGTGCATTAATCCCAATTTACCCTACTCAAGCACTGGTCAAATGTGCAACGCTTGCGATTTAAAAACAACTAAGCAGGCTCGATCTATCACTCCACCCAGTTCTGAAGTAGAGGCCATGATACTCTCCTTGACTCAGTGCATGACACCATTTATGTCAACCATGAAAAGTATGGTCTAAGACCTCGTAAAAGCGCGAAACTAAATGCGTTAAACTTTTTTAGGGAAAAAATGAGCGAACTTTGGTTATGCTTACGGAATGTCGTGAAATCATCATCCCAGAGACACACCGCACCATTAAGTATACATTTTATATGTCACCCAGATGGGTAGAGATGTACTTGTAAGATACCATTTAAAACATAGATTTCTTCACTCCAACGCAACAAATTTATAACAGTCAATTTCCGTAACACTCAAAAATAAAGCAACAGTTAAATGTTTTCTTTTCATAACACTTGGAGACAGATTTTTTAGCTGAAGGAGATTATAGTGCGAAGCTTACTCACATCGACTATTAAGCCCAAAACGTCGGCAGTTATGTGTCCCCAAAATAAGTTGGACTTTAGAATTTAGTCACATATAGACCGATCGGGAACTGTAGAGTAAACATGACATAGATAACGAGGTACTTTTAATTAACAGTATACTAGTGACAGCAGCAACTATTGCTATACCGAGTCAGAAAACTCCGTTAGAGGCCGGAAAAATATAAATAAGAGCGAAATAGATTTGCTGGTCCGAAACAAGCGACGTTTGCGTCGCGAATGGCAATCCTGCCGATCACCCGTTGCAAAAATCTGACTAAATGTGGCAGAAAAGAAGCCAAAAAAAAGCATTGAGATACGAAGAAGAAAGAAATATGAAAAATTTTATAACGTCTTTGTCTCCCAATACTGCTACTACAAAACTAGCAAAAACTTTAAGCCACCTTTTAACACTGAAGCAAGCCTAACGGTCCATGAACCGAGAGGACGAAAGAAGGCGCCTTGTATTGCAAAGCATCTCAGTGCAGTATTTCAAGCAAATACTGCAACCAATAATGCACCTTTGTCACTAAGACCGTTCTGCTCCAAGACATTCTGTTATTTGCGGAGCACCTCTGTCTAAACTAAAAAATATTATTTCCGCCTTAAATCCCAAAAAAATCCCCAGGAGACGATCACATCTCACCAAAAATAGTAAAAGAATTACCAAGCATTGTTCTCGTTTTTCTTGCAAAGCTTTTGAATGCTATTTTAAAGCTAAAATAACAATCCACAAACATGAAAAAGTCACTTCATATGGACGGCTGATTGGTCTGAAGTCATTGAACTTTTCTTGCCTATCCAAACTTTTCGAAAAAGTGCTGATATCAAAAGCTTCTCATTTTCTCCATCAATATGATTTTATTTCTACACGTACAGTTCGGTTTTCGGGAAAAACAAACAATTAAACAAGTAAATCGTATAACAGATGAAATAAGGAAAGCTTTCAAATTTAGAGTGTATTGCTCGGCCGTTTTTCTTGATGTGGCGCAAGCATTTGACAAAGTGTGTGGCTTGATGGTCTCGTTTATAAAATTGAAAAAAAAAAATCATTACAGCAAAGAGTTAGTCATTGCACAATATCCTTGAATCCTGTTTAATCAACGGACGATTCACTGTAAAAGTAAATGAGAAGAGTATCCTATCACAGCAGGTGTTCCACATGGTCGTGTTGTTGGACCAATACTGTGCATACTATTCACCTCAGATATTCCTATAAATCACATAATAATTACGTTAACATTTGCGGATGATAATGATGATGATAATAAGTCGTAACAAATTCCCATTACAGACACAGAAGTATTACAGCAGAGTCTTAAACTACAATAGTTTCAAAATAAGGATACATGGAAACCAGTTATGTGGCACAGCTTGCGCGACGAATATAGTTATAATTCAAAGGTTCGAATCGTAAACGTTAAGAGTAATAACGAGCGCACCATGATGCCTGCGTAATGAAAATATCCATAAAAATCTAAATATACCCACCATCAAGGAGAGATTGAAATCACAGCAAACTTAGCAAAACTGCGTAACCATCCGAACACTTTGGCTAACGCCTTGGCCCATGTTATAAAGAGCAACGTCAATCCAGCTGCTCATGCCTACTAATGGGCTTTGTGTTTTAGTTTCGGTTAAGATTTTATCACTTATCGATATTCTTCTTCCGATTTCGTAGCAGATCCAATTAATAAATACTAATGTTAATAAAAAAGGAAGAACATCTGTACTTTCCACTTCCGCATAATTCGCTTTAGAGGCCGTTCCATGTGCCTGAGTATACTCGGTAGTTTAAGTGAATGTTGGCTTTGAATTCGCGTATGCGTCGTTCTTGGTGTATATGCCCTTTACTCCGCAGATAAACCTTTTGAGATGGTCATCGGAGCAAGTTCCAGTAGAAATTGGTAAGGTTTTTGGTTGCAATCTTCAGCTCCATCTGAAACATTTGCTTCTTGTGTTCACTACTATATTGTCTTTCTACCGCTCGTATTAGTGCTTCATAATTATCCATCTCACAATCGGAAATCGTCTGCAAAATTTGTGCTATTTAAGAACCTAGTGCTCTAAATTTTATCCTACCCGGGGTCGGCTATAGCTTTAAATACGTCTGAGTCGTGTTGTGGGTTGGACAAGCGTAAATCCTGCATATCTTTATGATCTGGCTTATAGCTTTTCGATACCTGTACATTTTTGCAAATAATAAGCAAACAAAAAAAAAAAAAAAAAATTATCTGATAAAAATACATCAGCCGTTCGCAGACGGCTGAGACAAAAACTGTTAGTTCGTTGCACCTAAAGTAATAGGCTCAGTGTTCAAAAGTTACAAGATATCAGCATAGGTGATTTTAACCTGTATTATTTCTCACCTCCTTCACTCGCTCGTTTCACACCAATGTTGTCACTACCGAGTTCTCTACTCAATTAGAAACACTTCGTTTTGTGCTTGACTTGACTTAAAAATATCTGCCGATTGCTCGCATATATCTCTAGATAGATCTTTACGCTACGTTAAATTCTGGATCCCAGTTTTTATCTCGATTTCTCAACAATCAGGATTCGAGACACCACCTCGTATATCTGTTAGATTACCCTATAGAACCCTGTCACTGCCACTCATAACCGGGTGCACTGTCAGATAAGTGCACAACTCTCAACTTATCCTTCAGGATACCAGAGGACACCTTGTCGTTTCTCCTGGCATCAAATATATACCGGCTTATCTGACGACTTCTAGATTTCAGACTTTTTGCAGCGATACATTTCTTACAATTGCAAATGCAGTCTGCTATGGGTTGTCGACAACTAACCCAGTACAACTTTCATTTATCTTCTCTAAAATCTTTTTGATGCCTACATATCCTCCACTATCTTTCTGAGCGTCACGAGCTTGACTCCTTGTTTTTGGACTGCTCTGGAAACCGATATGAATCTCACAACCCTGCTCGAAACTTATTTGTCGGAACTAATTTATCGATTATTCGTTGAATTTGATGCGTTGTATTTTGATTTATCGGGAAATTAATACCGATGATATATTATTAGACGGATTAAGTTGGTTTAAGATAATTTATTTTATTATTCATCGTAAATTAATAGAGATAATTGTTTAGAGGCCGTACTATCGCCGAGGCCATAGGTCTAAGATATTTACAAATTAAAGTTGAAAATATTGTCACGGTTTTAATCCAATAAAAAAGGCGATGAATTTATTTATTATTTTTATTTATTGAATCTGCTTCGCTATCGGAAGTCCCACAAGAAATAATCAAAACATAAAATCTAAATTAAAATTAAATATGGATTGTAGCTAGGAGTAGGCTCTTGGCTCAGTGTTGCTCTTTACAAGGGTAGTAACTCCATTCTTGCGCAGGCAAAGGTGTTAGCCAAAGGGTTCAGATTATTGTATGGCATTGCTTTGTATTTTTAAGTAGGGACTTCTGTTTCTTCTTGGATTATGCGTATATTTAGATCTCTTTGGATGCTTTCCTTACGAATTTACCAGGGCGCCCAATTATTATTATTAACGTTTTCGATTGGAATCTTTTTATTATTTCTTTGTCGCGCAAGCTGCGCCCAAATTAATAGTCTATCCAAGTGAACGCCAAGAAATGTGATTTCATTACTTGTAGGATAGGCTCGATAATAGAGCAAGTTTTTGGCTTTGATTTAAAAGTGAGTTAAGTCAAACACTTATTTTAATTAATTTTTATTTGCCATTTTGCTTGCCATTCTTCAATTAATTTAAGATGCTGCCCTAACAATTTTGTGGCTGTAATGGCTAAAGGACTAGAATTGAAAATAGTCAAGATTCAGGATTTGACGATAGCTCCCATCAAAAGGGAACTGGCAAAGCGATGATTATCTACAACCAGAAATAAGACGAATTTACAATCACAACTGTTAGAAGCTGCGGAAGCTCAAGGCATTGACTTGATCCAATAGGAACCCCGTCGAGAAGACGAATAGATATCAACAAAAGTTGTAGAGAAAAAAAGAGGATATTGATTCTACTGAGATAAGAGAAAATACTTGCGTAGAAAAACGCTATGGTAGTGAGCACAAGAGCCGAATGGACAGGATGGAGCTTGAGAATCGTATCCAAAAACTCATTGAGAGATTGACTCATTTTGCTATTTATGATTCAGCTGGTTAGCATCTCGTGAGGGTGAAAATCCATAGGCTTAAAAATAGAATGAAACATATTCGTTTTCCTTTAAAAAAGTATGGAACCTCGAATATATTAGTTGGTGTGGGCTTACTTCTTGAGGCAGGAATGATGATGAAGAGTGAATGAGTGTGACGGTATGAAGGCGCTACTAAATTGTGGTCACCAGCAAGAACAGACAGGCGGATATGGCAGGAAAACGTCTGGTGTCCTGAAGTGAAAGCCGAGAAAATCTGTCGCAGGTTGTGAGCTTTTGGGCATCATCAACGCGTATTCAGTCAAAATCGCTAAAATATTTTATTTTACAACTACTTTCACATTTTTTATAATTCAGGTTCATTTAAACTGCTAAAGTTTTCAAAAGACTCATTGGCCTCATATAAGCCAAACACTTGCATTGGGGCAGTTACTTTCCGTTTTTGTCGGTAATTATCTTCACATCCTTTCCGCGAAGTCCACCGGCAGGAAAACCTAAGTCCAAGTTGGGCACCAATTTGCCGATATCTGGTACAGCAAATATCGTTAAAACCCCCAATGTTGAAAACATTCATCTGAAAATAAAATATCAACCGTTTTTTTAAATTATTTAAATGGTGAATATGCTGGTCTTATATTGACTAACCGCTACAATCCGAAGTTTTATATTCTTCCAGTCGGTCAGATATTGCCGGATACAATACTTCGTTTGCACAACATATTTCTGTATATATGTATGTGCATAATATTTTATTCGGTTGAAGTAGCCAAGGGAGTAGCAGGGCGTGCTACCGTGGGCAGGGTTATTGGATCGAATTCTGGTCATACCAATTTCTAAAATTATTGAAACAGTGTTACTTAGTCTGTCATTCCGTAGGTAAGATACATAAAAGTCTCAGCCTTTGAGGAGCAAAGAACACGGGGATGCTGCAAACACAAGATAATGTAACAATATACGGGACTATTCTCACTGTTACCGGTAAAGTAAATTTTGTTACTTTTCTTTACCACCCGAAATTGAATTTGATATTCTAGCTCAAAGGTTACATTCTTTGAAAAAAATTGGCAGCACTGCTTTTTTCGTCCATGTCAAATTACATTTGCCATTGCTATAGTAAAAAAGATATTCACTTCGAAATGGAAGACGGTGCACAAAACAATTAAAAAGTTTTATTAATTTGTTTATTAAATCATAAATATGTGAACATAATTATTGAAAATATGCCTGGACAACAAAAAAAGCTAAATGAAAACGTTATCTTACAAATTAAATGGCTATTTTTTAGTCTCGAAAAATTTTTAAAATACGGCTTTTTGCACCTTTTCCTTCACCTTAAATGAATTCCAGGCCTAAAATATGGCAACTCATTTTGGTTTTTTTATATTTTCTCAAACTAACAGCATAAAATCAAACGGTATATTTCTTTTGTTACCTCCTATTTCGCTGGTAACAAAATTTACAGTGTAACAGTGAGCTCAGAATACGAAATGGTAACAAAATTTACTGAATGGTAAATTTTAATACCTAAGCAAATTTTGTTACCTCGACAGAATAGGCCTGATAGTCTATGTCAAATAACGTGGATAAAGTTTTTCAAAGTTCTGCAGAGCGAAGATCCTAGATGCCTAAGACGTCTCCTAGATAGATAGAAGAGGTGTTCCAACGTCTCATTTATGTCATGTCACTAATGTCCATCTCGCTCGCCTACAAATCAGTAAACATTCTTCTTTGTAGGCACCATATTCTCTACCTCTATCACACGTGATATTGCTTGAATTGGGATTGGAATGTTGGTAGTTTTAGTAATCTTTCAAATACAAACACAGTTCGTAGTGGCCTCGCTCTGCGATTTTTTGTATGCGATAAAGCCAGGCATTAGGCCCCACATAGCCCCTAGCACAGTACTGTCCAAACTTTTTTTTGGCGTGGTCACAGCAGTGGCCAACAGATCTATTCAATGGCCATTTTTTCCATAACCTAAAAAAAAAACAAGTAAAAATTTCATTTTTGGGGTAATTTCGGTTGGTAATGTGACGTATGACAGTTTTCTATTTTCTATGAGTTAAAATAAACCGAAACAATGAATGTTTATTCAATATTTATGTTGATTAGTTCGCAACGATGTTTGGATTCCAATGCAACTTTCAATCGCAATATTTCGGCAGAGCGTTTTTCGGACAACACAATCTGGTTTTCTCTTTCTAACTACGAAACGATCCATATGTTATTGTGAAGTGAACATTTATTCAACTCATTTGATAGTGACACGTAGCCGAGTTCCCGTTATATTTCAATATCGACAAGGTTTAACAGTCGCCAACAAATGATAAACATAAACAATCGAAATGCGCGCGCCGCATCATTGCTATACAATGAAGATTTGACATGATTTAACGAGAGCTGCTGATTCAGCTAGCACTGCCAATTCGACAGAAACTATAATATATCGAAAAGACAAGATCATAAATTTATTAAAAGTTTATATTTGGGGAAATAAAGCGAAAACGCGAATCCAAGGGACAATACAGTTATCTATTTGTCTTATTATTGTCACAATGAAATCGCTTCGGTTAACATTATAAACCGTTTTTTGGAAAAAAATAAGAATCATTTTTTTTAAAAAATTTAAAGAGTAGGTTTTTCCCTTACTACTTTTTCATAACATTGTTACAAGGGACAACAAAAACAGTGATAAAACTCTTCTGATGACTGAGGACTAGAGGTAGACCCTTCGTATACGCATGTTTGTCTGATATGTTAACGAACAAACGCTTATATTATATCTAATAGGCCGGTTCTACCAAATGTAAACACTGTGTTTGCATATTTTGAGTCTACGAGAACTGTCAAGTGTTTCCACTGGGTGTTTAATGAGTTTAGTGTCATTTATTTTTGCTTACTCTATACATATGTATGTATATAAAAGGCGCTTTCCAATTTGTGGCTTTGGGTCTTGATGTCTTTTCCAGCAAATGGAGGGACCTACAAGTTTATACTACGCAATTAGAAAATGTAACTTAGTTTTTTATTTAAATTAATTTTCTATAACTTTTTGGATGTTGGTACGACACAAGGATTTGAGCCTGGGCCTTCCGAATAGCAGTACGCAATGCTAACCACTCGGCTACCGCGGCCGCCACAATAGGAATCTCACACAATCACACAATATTGACAGTATGTCAAGCAGTGCTGCCGTGTATTAATAAGACTGAAATAACGAAGAAGTAAAAATGACATGAAATGGTCGTGTAAACTCAACCCAAACACGCTGTGAAAAGTGAGTTTGTTTCATGAGATATATATGGAATATGGCAAGCGTTTAAAGTGGTGCTTGCGACTAAACACGGTACCGACTACAAACTCGGAGTTTACGCTTGGTGGAAAGGACCTATAATGTACCTGCTATCTCTACATTCGCGCGTTATATGATGAATTTAGATGTGAAGAATAAAAGTGCAAAAGAAAGGAGAGAAAACTGACGAAGAGGAACAGGCAAATGGAGAAAACCTTGACAAGCAAATAAAAGAATACGCACAAAAAATTTTATAATAGAATTCTTAAAACCGGGCGGACAACGAAAATTTTACAATATCGCATGTTTGTTTTAATTTTACAGAAAATGTTAATATAAATCACTCGCATAACTTTTCTTTTAATTTTAATCACCAATAACCCACTGTATACTTTTTCACCCCTTCGAAATTTTTAAACGCCATTTTTCTATACAAATTTTAAAAAATACTGTCTTTTCCTTTAGATTTTTGATTATTTTACACGTTTTTGATAATATTTACTCATGCCATTCGTATTGCACCACACAAACTGTTGGAGTTGCTAGCTATAGAAATTTTTGATAAAAATAATTCTAATTTTTATAATTAAAAATAAAAAATAAAATGTTTCACATAAAACTATTCAACATACTGAAAAAAAATTTTTATTTAGTTATTTATGCAATCTGCTGACGTTGCTGAAACGAAAATGCTTTTATGCATGTTTTCATTTTCACATTTGCTTGTTTGTTCCCTCAAATTATTTATTTTGCGCAATCAGCTGATAGCAGCCAGAGCCACGTATATTTTTATGTTGAGGGGATCGTTTGATATTTCACAATTGTTTTTTGTTTGTTTCTTATAGTTTTTTTTTGAAGGCGGAGAAGCATTCTCTTCACCAATTACTTAATATAGGCATTTATGTTAAAACTAATGCAAAAAAGGAATTTTTATACAAAAAATTTCACCATGCAAAATATAAATCTCGCCCCTCATTAAATCCGAAAGTACACGACTCTGGCAAGAAGTACACCGAAATTTCCGAAATGATTACATTAGTAGTGACAGCATCGAATGTTAACATAACATTTTCTGTTAAATTGCCGAAATAAATTATGCATGCATTTAAATACGATGTTTACATGCATTTAACGTCCGGTGGAAATAGGCTATAATATTATTTCGTTCGCCACATAATATCACCAAATTTAAAAAATAAAAACAGTCTGTCTACATCTTACAATATGTGAATAACCGTGTATGAATATTTTGCTCAAGGCGAATTCATACACTGCAGTAGCAAGTATACAAAAACAATAAGCCTATTTATTTTGTTTGTATAATCGAACGTTCGAAATATCAAAAGATATTGCTCATATATTTTATTTGTGTAATTTGGTGAAAAGGAATTAAGAACAAGCAATAATATGTTGCGGCAACTTTATCTTGAATAAATTCGCCCTGACTCTGCTTCAAATAAAATTGAATGAACACCAGCTGATTTCTATAATTTTTAATACCATTTGAAGAAAGCCACGACTTGTTTGTTATCGTATGGTAATTGGGAAAGAATTATCAAGTTTTGGTATAATTCGACCTCTAAAGTTTGTATGCGAATTACGACTAATGCTGCAACTACCCAACTCACGTACCAGCCGTCCGTAGCAACCTATCTTATGAGAGCAACATGTAAACACAATGTTGTCACCCCTTGCCCATGCCGATTGTGACGGTTGTCCGGCAGAGACCAACGGCGATTTAATTTTTTCATATATGTGTATTTGATTTGCGTGAAAATAATATATTTGTTCAGAAGTGTGCAAACACACTGACTGCTGGCAATATTTCGCCGCTCTCAGTAGCGTCGATAACCCTTGTGAGTACCTCGCTCTTCCAGTGGGCTGTTGTGGACGAATGGTAAGTAAAATGGGTAGTTGCAGTATAAGACAGCAAACAACGTAATTCGACCGCCACAGAATGTTAAGAATTTTACTGAATCGCGATTGGCGAGCCCAGTAAAATAGTTACGGGAGAGCGCAATTTTGGTGTTTGCTTGGAGAGAAAGTTGCAAATTCGTGCTAAAAAAATTTCATTCAGTAAAAAGTAACAAGTATGAAAAACAGCTGATTTGTTTGATTCATTTAAAATAAAAATAATATTAATATTTTAATATGAATTACACACTCACCGAGTAAGGTCTCAAATGTAATTTTCTTAAATTAAAATTATTGATATTGAAGCAAATCAAAGTAAAGGCAATCGGCAACTCGGAATTAAGTTGGGTATAGAATTAGAATATATTAATACTTTTCTGTACAATGCCTTAACATTGCGGAAGCGACGACGATATACAAAATGAAATGTTAGCAGAGTTTAAAAGGAAAAATAAAGCTCAGTCAATAGGGTTTTACGTAGATCTTCGTCCTTTTAGAAAACTCATTGGTATCTTTATCGTTGTTTATCGGCTATAAAGCATGTACATATGTATAATTTCATCACTGCTGAAATACAATATATTTTGAATAAATCAAAAATGCCCTATAAAGCTCATTTTATTAAAACACTTAGCGAAAAACTTAAAATGTAACCAGTGCTGATGTAAGTTTAAATCATCAAAATAAGGTGTCGTCAGACGCAGCAACTAATTAACTTAAAATTGCATGTTAAAGACAAATTCCTGATATGTCATTTCAAAAACCATATTTGACAATACTAGAATCCTTTGAAAGCAATTACAAGAAAAAAAATTACTAGCGCATCGCGAAAAATTGGAAATTTAAAGTCACAAATCTAACCGCAGAGAAAGGAGTGCAGCCATCACACACCATAATTTTATTTCTGCAATTATATAACATTACCAACGTGATTTTTCGATGAAATTTTTATAGTGAATTTTAATTATTTCAATGCGTTGTTTAAACGTGTATCGTTCCATTTTTATTATTGGCATAGTTTTTACTTGTCAAATGTCAAAAAATTATAGCTTCCAAATGACATCTACCGGGAGTTTTAGCAAAGGGGACTAGATCGAGAACAAAATCACTGATATTAGAGCTGAGAGCGTTACCCCATCTCACATTCTAATGTTGGCAGCAGTGTGCGATCGGGGAAAATTCAACAAAATGCACCAGCACCACTGCGTCAATAAAAAAATCCATTGTTTTTGCTTCAGAACAAATTTGCTTCAACAGTAAGAATTAAAGAAATTGTAATTAAAGAATTAATTTTATTATTAAAACTTAATATAATTAAATATTTGATTGTTTCTCAATGAAATCATTTAGTGAAATTTTAATTAAAGAAAAAATCCGAAGAAGCCATTTTTCTATCACAGTGCCACTGTGCAGAAATGTTAGGAAAAATGCGAATTTTTGAGCGCTCTCACGAAATTAAGAGTTTCGTAACTAGTCATCTTAATAATACATTTCAAAGTTGTCTTCGTATACACAAATATAATGTTTCGATGTATGGATGTATGTATTTAAAATGCGTATGTATGTATGTATGCGCAATGTCTTGCAAATATAAAATTGTGAGTCACTTTGCTGCGCACGATTATTTCTGGTGGGAATTGCTCGTTGTGTTTGTGTAAGTCATTTGGCAGAAATACTTTGTGAAGCAGAGTGGCGCAGTGGAAGCGTGCTGGGCCCATAACCCAGAGGTCCGAGGATCGAAACCTTGCTCTGCTAAAAATGTTGATATGTGGTCGTTCTTTTTTTTTTTAATATACAGTGATTTTTGATATAATGCTTAATAAAAAGTCATGAATGTTCAGCTAATACAAAAACAATTAAAATTTAATGATGGAGTAAGTGAAAACAAAATTTTATTTTTGCTAAGTTTGTTTGAAAGATTTTTCGGACTCTTCTTTAATTTATAATAATTTTTCTTTTTTAATAATCTATCGTTAATTAATTATATTTCTTGTTTTACTAGAGATAATCGACGTGCTGTTTTTCTTCCCTACACTTTTGTCAAAGATAAGCACACTACATAGATTAATATAATGCAATAATTGAAGAAGGGAAGGCAGACACATTTGCAAATAGAAAAATAAAAAGTCCGAAATGCGTGAGTATGAAGATGAATTAGACGATCCATTTCCATCTTTGACGAAGAACTAGTAAGGTGCGTGAACGAACTGATTGGAACTTATGACATTGGTCGTGGGTATCTCACAGAAATTAATGACAGTACCAGAAGCGCCAAATGAGGTTTCAAATAGGAGAGTCTCTACAGTGTGACTTCTTCAACTAAAAAGGCAGGAACATTTCTTCACAAGAGTGGAGAGCAGAGTTTTCAGCCTTTAAATCCAATACCAATCATTCATGCTAACAGGGATTACTTCGTAAGCAACTGAAAAATAAAGTCATCTTTCTCACAGGCGAGGAGATGTAAGGGATACGAGGGGATTAACAAAAGGAAAGGAAAAAGCAAAAATAAATATTTTTGTATTTCTTTGTAATCTTTGTCTTTTTCAATTTTCTCTACATAATCGCCATTGATTTCAATGCATTTCTTAAGCCTATAGATGTACGTCTGCTTGTTTTGGCTTATCAAGTTCAGCAATAACCGAAATATTTACCTCCTAGGTGCTATTAAAGACCTTTAGTAACCGCCTAACCCTCTTCCAGTGGAATAGCAGCTCTGATTTTAGATTGAGTGAAGTAAACTGACATCATTACTTTTGCTGCTGATTTTTGTTGCTTAGGTTTAAAGGGTTGGTTTGCTCCTGTTGAGCTTCATACCATGGTCTGCTGTTAAGTTCCGGATCGTACTTATAGAACCAAGATTCGTCACCAGTAACGACTTTACTGAAGTTGATAGACTGACCATTTTCGAATTCTTTAGGAAAAATTGAGTAAATCGTACACGAGTCCCTTTTTGGACCTCATTTACCCACCGAGCAGATTTCTTCGTGTCTCCCAGATGATTGCTTAATATTCGCGATGAACATTGACATTCAAGCCCAATTCATTAGCAATCATTTCTTGTGTCAATTTAGAGTCTTCATCATTTTTGGACTTCACCGGTCTGGCATTTTCGGAATCACTTAGAATTAGGCTTTAAAGACGGTGCAATCGTTCCAGTGGCGATTTGGTATTCACTGAATTTTGTATTGGATGTAAAATACGCCGAAACACGAAGAAAAACACATGGCGAATTTCTGTTTGTGTCGGTGGTGGAGCTTCGTCTGAGCTCTCCTCAGCTATCTTGAGTTTTATCGTTTTCATTTTAGACGATCGTTCTAAGATTTGAAAGGAAAAGTAATAAAGTAATTGCAAATGGTTTGGTATATTTAGATTTAACAAAAACAAACTGAAAGTCTCTGACCAACTGACCGTACTTTTGTTAATCCCCTCGATGGAAATGTTTTAATGATCACGATTTGAAGACATGCACCTGGAACGACCGATCCCTTAATTGAAAAGGTGCCGCTGTCCAGCTGATTGATGTCCTAATAAAATTAAAGGCTGACGTCCCCGCCGTCCACGAAGTGCAATGGACGGGACAAGCACGGGAGAAGGTCTGCCCTTGTGAGACTCCGTCGCTGAGTACTAGAATTCACTGCGGTGGATCAACGTCACGCCACAATTC